AACCCCATATACAGCTGTGACCCGTCAAAACCGCGCTCAACTAAGCCGCACCCGATTAAACCGCGTCGCTGACGTCATCAACAGGGCGACAACAGCGCAGAGACAGAAGCACGCTGTAAACCCTAAACCTAAACCTAACCCCCCTAACCCTAATCCTAACCCTAAACCTAACCCTAAACCTAACCCTTACCCTAACCCTAACCCTAACCCTTACCCTAACCCTTAAGTTGAATCGGCTTGCTTTCAAAGAGCTATTTAAAGCGCCCTTCTTTCTCCGCGCTGGCTGTTGTTGCCCTGTTGATGACGTCAGCGACGCGGTTTAATCGGGTGCGGCTTAGTTGAGCGCGGTTTTGACGGGTCACAGCTGTATATGGGGTTGCCATTGTAAAGCATCCAGAAGCTTCAATTGACTCAAAATGTAGCGGCCTGCATGGTTTTGTGCAGAGCCAGCTGTGCACATATCACCTCTCCCGTGGCAGCTGCATTGACTGCCAATTTGCTTCTGGGGACAATTCAAGGTGCTGGTTGTCACCTTCGAAACCCTTCATGGCTTGGAACTGGGTTGTGTGAGGGACCTTCTCTTCCCGGTTACATCCACCTGACGCACTAGAGTGGATGGGCAAGGAACATTGCGAGTTCTATCTCCTAAGGCAGTGATGGCTAACCTTTTTGTTGATGCGTGCAGAAAGGGCGCGCACACCCATAATGCAATGTGTGTGCAATCACCCTGCATGTGTCCCTCCCCCTGCGCATGCACCCCCTGCGCTCCCCACCCTCATGCATGCACCCGCTCCCACCCCCACCCCGTGTGCATGTGCAGCCCCCTGCTTGTGCACCTAACCCCACATGAAAGCGTGACTCCCTGCCCCCCCCATGCGTATGCATCTCCTACATGCACCCCGCCCCCTGTGCACGTGTGACAGACCTAAAAACCAGCTGGCCAGCGAGAGGCACGCGCGCATGCGCAGTGGAATTGAGCTAGGGCGACAGCTCACGTGCCCGCTGAGAGGGCACTGGGTGCCACCTGTGGCACACGTGCCATAGGTCTGCCGTCATGGTCCTAAGGAGACACATCTGGCAGCTCCCTCCCTTTGGAACATCATCCCTGCAGAGGTAGGGCTGGGCCCTCACTTTAACTCTCCTTTGCAAGGCCCTGAAGCCTTGGTTCTGCCAACAGGTCTCAGGAATCCACAAGTGGGATGGAGCCCATCAAGTGGCTTGTTTGTGTATTGTCTCCAGGGGGTGGGTGGGAATATTGGTTTTTATTGTATGTAAGCCCACCCAGAGTCACTGAGAGCGAATGGGCAGCCATATAAATCTTCTAAATCAGTGTTTCTCAACCTTGGCAACTTGAAGATGTCTGGACTTCAACTCCCAGAATTCCCCAGCCAGCATTCGCTGGCTGGGGAATTCTGGGAGTTGAAGTCCAGGCATCTTCAAGTTGCCAAGGTTGAGAAACACTGTCCTAGCCACTGTCTTTCCACTGAAGAGGATGAAGGTATCTGAGGCTTTAAATCAGTGTTTCTCAACCTTGGCAACTTGAAGATGTCTGGACTTCAACTCCCAGAATTCCCCAGCCAGCATTCGCTGGCTGGGGCTGGGGAATTCTGGGAGTTGAAGTCCACAAGTCTTAAAGTTCCCAAGTTTGGACACCCCTGGGCTAATCAATATCCACAGGTGTTGAATTGCTCATTGCAGCAGTGACCACTAACAGTGATGGTCAATGGAAGAAAGAATTGCCCAAATCCAGTTAAGTGGGATTATCATCAATGCAGAATTTCTTAACCTCAGCTCTGGAGATGCGCGGACTTCAATTCCCAGAGTTCCTCAGCCACAGTTGTTAAAAGTTGGGAAACGCTGGTTTTACGCGTCCTACTCCTAGATTGCATGAAACTCTAATAAAATTTGGAAAAAGAACCAATTCCCTAGGTTGAACCTTTCCATTTTTTCCCTTCTCAGCCGCGTTAGCAAAGCCAGTTTTTCTGCCGCTTCAGATGCTACCTTTGCGCTGCCAGGCTATTGGCGAGATTATGACATGCGGTGGCGCGGCTATTGCAAACAATACGGCAAGGCTTGCCGCCCTGACAATTAGGGAGTTTCCAGCAGGGGACGCTATGACCGTATCATCGTGCGCCGGCGCCTTCCACCGCTACCGCCACCATGGAATCCAACAGGGACGAAGCGGAGCGTTGTATTGTTATCGGGGTAGCCGCCATCAAGGCCAACCAGATCGAGAAGGCCCGCCGTTTCTTGGAGAAGGCCCAGCGGCTGTACCCATCTCAGCGGGTCGGCGGTGAGCGGGGCACGGGGAGGGGGGCGGGGGAAGGCCTAGATGACGAGGCCTCGGATAGCCGGCCTGACCTCTCACCCGTACTGCGCGTGTGCAGAAGCGAGGGCTGGCGTGAGGCACCCTGGGACTTGAAGTCCCCTAACTCGCCGTGATAGGAAAATGCTCGTTGTGGGAAGGGGGCTTTCGAGGGAAGTTTCATGGTCGGCGCGGGGGAAAAGGGGGAAACCCGAGTCGGCGAGCCGGGTTTATGTGGTGCACGAAGAGAGCACGGCGGTTGTCGTTCCCCTAACTAAAGGGAGAGACTACAACTCCCAGCGGGCATTGCGCCGAGGGTGAAGGGGGCAACCCCGCACCTGAGTGACAGGGATGGTCCCTTTGCCCCCCCCCATCTCCCCACATTTGCAATTCCCCAATGCTGTAGCTTCTCTCCATCTCCCCTTCCCGCCACCATCAGTTCCCTCCCGGTTTGGGACAGGCGCGGTTTAAGCTTCTCTCTCTCCCTTTGGCCTTCTCTGCTGGGGATCCGGACCTTCCTTTTCCAGCCCCTTCCCTAGATCCGTTGTAGACTGTGGTGTGCGCCCCCCCCCCGCCTTTAGCCTCGGTCCTGACAACTTTCGGATGATCTGGACTACGTTTTGGGCCTGCTGGGCATTAGCTGGGGCAGATGGGTGGGCAGAAGTCAAGGGAAGAGCCTCTCCAGTTGGGTGGGCAGAAGTCAAGGGATGACTCTCCAGTTGGGTGGGCAGAAGTTAAGGGAAGACTCCAGTTGGGTGGGCAGAAGTCAAGGGATGACCATCTCCAGTTGGGTGGGCAGAAGTCAAGGGAAGACCATCTCCAGTTGGGTGGGCAGAAGTCAGGAGAAGACCGTCTCCAGTTGGGTGGGCAGAAGTCAAGGGAAGACCATCTCCAGTTGGGTGGGCAGAAGTCAGGAGAAGACCGTCTCCAGTTGGGTGGGCAGAAGTCAAGGGAAGACCGTCTCCAGTTGGGTGGACAGAAGTCAAGGGAAGACCGTCTCCAGTTGGGTGGGCAGAAGTCAAGGGAAGACCGTCTCCAGTTGGGTGGGCAGAAGTCAAGGGAAGACCGTCTCCAGTTGGGTGGGCAGAAGTCAAGGGAAGACCGTCTCCAGTTGGGTGGGCAGAAGTCAAGGGAAGAC